GGGGGGCAGAGAGCAGGTTGTGACTCAGCCAAGCTTCTCCATTCCAGGAGGCCAAGGAGCCCTTCAGGGGGAAGGACCTGGGACTGTGGAAGCCCAGACCCAACCAGCACTGATGCCCTGGTCTATCTGTTCTGACTCTGCCATCCAACACCCCTTAGCTGGGCCTCACCTTGTGAGAGGCTACCCAGGGTTCTGGGCAGGGGATTGGGTAGTCAGTGAGGCCCTTAAGGAAACTGCTTTGGTTAATAGACCAAATTTCTTTCAAGACTTCTGATTTTCCTCATGAAAAACAGGTGATCACAAGATGCTTTCTAGCCCTGATCTGGAAGGGTCTCTGGGACCCCCCACTCCAGTCTCACCACCTCAGCCCAAAGCCATAGAAGTGGCCAGACTGGGACCTCTGAGCATCCCAGCTTCTCAGATTGCTAGGAAGCGAATGGAGTAAATGCCAGGAGTGTTTGTGGAGCCTCAGTGTCTGTATACCTGTGTTGGCGGTGGAGTGGGGGGATGGGGCTGAGAATGTACCCATTAGCACCTCTTTGGAGGGCTGACCCCTACCTTTCTGTCCCTCAGAACCACAGTGACAGCCGTGTGACACTATTTGAGGGGGACAACTTCCAGGGCTGCAAGTCTGAACTCGGCGATGACTACCCGTCCCTGCCCTCCATGGGTTGGGCCAGCAAGGATGTGGGTTCCCTTAAAGTCAGCTCTGGAGCGTGAGTCCTGGGGCTGGAACAGGGGAGATGAGAAGAACAGGGAGGCAATGGGCCCAGGGAGGGAGGTGAGGAGAGGCGATGGGTGTGCGAAAAGACATAGTAAGAGAGATGTTGGCGACTGGAGGACAAAGGGCAGTGACGTAGGGAGAGACTTGGGGGCAAGGGGAAGAAAGTGAGATGTTGGAGATTGCCTGGGAGGGAGTGGGCAGGTCATGGGAGAACAGGAGTCAGGGGAACACTATAGGGATAGCAGAAGGGATTGAAAACTTGGGTGAGGAGGCAATGGAGGGTGGGAATAAAAGAGGGTGAGGAAGGTGATAGGAGGGTGTGGAGTAGTGAGCAGGGCAGGGAGAGATCCATGTAGGAAGATGGAAGCAATGGTGCTGGAACTGGGGGTTGGGGACCGTGAAAGGAGGACTACTAATGGAGGACACTGATGGTGGGGCAGAGCCTACTTGCCACCCTTTTACCCTCACTGCTCTAGGTGGGTGGCCTGCTAGTACCCAGGCTACCAGGGTTACCAGTATGTACTGGAGCGGGACCAGCATGGAGGGGAGTTCCATGCCTACAGCAAATTCCAGATGCAGGCCCACACGGGGCGGCTGCAGTCCATTCCAAGAGTCCAGCAATAAGCCCTATTGCCCCCACACCTCCCCTGAGGACCCTCAATAAAGTCACCTGAACCTGCCTGTCCCTCATGCCTCTTTTGGTGTCTTGCTTTGTGATTTCCATCCCCATCTTTCTGAAGGTCCTTCCCTGCTGACTTGACCCTCCCTTCAGGCTCCAGGACCCTTGATTATGGAGCATAAACTGGCTTAAGATGTATATGGCTGGACTCATGGGGCTGAGAGGAAACTGCTGGTAAGAACCTTAGGCATCCTGTTAAATACAACCAGTCCCACATCACTCCTTGGTAAAGGCCCCTCCGCTTGGGACAAGGGTACTTCAGCCAAATGGCACCTTTGCCATCCTCTGGTTGGGGTGCATATGGCCCCACAGCAGGGCTTAACGCTGAATTTCAAACTGCACCCCCCCACCCCCACCCTCCACCCCCAGGCCAGGCCCCATCATGCAGGGCAGGACCTCCTTAACTCTCAGGAGCTTTGTTGGGTTCCTCTCTAACCCCTAAGGCATTTCCAGTCTTTATTGTCACCTAGCTCCTTCTTCAGCTAGAGAAGCCTGCACCCCTTTTCCAGCCTTATGGGATCTCTGCCTTATAGAAGAGCAAGGGCATAAGAGGAGGAATTAGTGGGAGGTTCCACTGTCCACCAGGGCCTCCTGAGGGGGAGGCTTCCTCTCTCTGAGCAGAACCTTCAGACCCTTTGTCTGAATAATAACTATCCCTCACAAGGCTTGAGCTTCAGCATTTGCAAAGCACTGTCATGCCCACCCTCTCTACTGTTCCAAATGACTCCCTCTTCACTCTTCCTCTTCCTCGCCACTCTTCAGAGAACTGGTGCGCTGGAGAGGCAACCCCTTAGCCACTGGCCACAGTGAGCCCGGGTTCTGGGGCAGGTGGCAGGGGTCCACAGACATGGTGGGACTGAGTGTGGCAACAGCCACTAGAACCCCTGTCACCAATGTGGTTTCTTCTCAATTTCCTCTTTTGCCCAGTTAATAACACCCTCAGTCCCACATAGGCAGAGCCTCCAAGGCCCTGGGGATTCCTCTCATCCTATCCCTTGGAATGCTTGTGTTTTCAAGCCCCTAGTGGCTCTATCAATGCAGAGGGGGGCCAAGATCATCACCTCAGCCCAGGGTAGGCAGGGCAGTGTTGGAGAACAGTCAGGCTTGGACCCGGCAGTCCTCATGGGCCCAGCTGTGCAGAGTCAGGCATCTGCTCCCTGGGGAAGAGCCCTGAACCAGAAGTCAGAACACCAGAAGTCAGACCCAATCTCATACCACCCCTGAGACTCCATTCCCCCTCCTGTAAACTGGGGCTACTGATCCCTGCCTGTGTCACAGGGATGTTGTGAGGATCCAGTGAGAACCCCCTGAAAATGCTTGTGGTGCTATGGAAAAGCATCGGGGCAACCAACCAGGACCCTCCTTTCCTTTCCCTGTCTCCCTCCATGGATCCCAGAGTTAGGTCTGGAAACCAGGGGACAGAGCTCTAGGTGGTGTCTAGAGTTTATGGTCCCTATCGCAGTTGATTCTCCTAACACAGTCCATGCTGCATCCATTTCACCAATGAAGAAACTGGAGCTCCTCTGAGAGGGAGAAGCTTCAATGAGGTGGCCCACTTCACTGGTGACTTGAACAAGGGCTCCTGACCCCAAATCCATGCTAAGTGGAGGCTGACCTGATCTGTGGCTTGAGGCCTTGGGCCTCAGCAAAGCTCCAAACCTTTGTGGGCCCCAAAGGAGCCTGGGGTTCCTGTCTGGTCACAGGCTCCTAACTGTCTCCTTGGGGGATGGTAACAGCAACAATAGCTAAATGTATATAGCCTTGTTTGAGCATGTGCTGTATAAGCCTTACAATTCTGTATGATAGGTACTATAATCCCCATTTTACAGATGAAGAGACTAAGGTAGAGAGGTTATGTAACTTTCCCCAAAGTCACACAACTAGGAAATAGGGGACCCAGAGTTGAACTCAGACAAACTTGCCTCAGAACGCAGTAGCCCATCCCCCCACTCCCTGTTTTTGGGGACAGACAATGGGCAAAGGGAGAGCTGGTCTCCACCATCAGCTGAGCTGTCCTCCCTCTATGAGTGTCTGTGGCTGCTGGAAAGAGTCAGCAAGATAGCTTCAGGATCTGGCAGTGTGACCCTGAACAAGGCGCTATCTGTCTCCAAGTATCAGTGTCCTCACCTGTACAACCAGGGAGTTAGGGGAGCTAATATTTGTAGCAACCTTTGTTTTCCCAAACCCAGGGTCTAGCTCTGCTCCCCACTCTGGCAACTAAGGAGGGGGGGGGCTCGCAGAGGCCAAACTGGGCTTGAATGTTTTCACCTTCCCATTCCAGGCAGGCTGAAGGTCTGCAGAACCCTGTGGGCTTGCTCATTGGCTGCACTCAGCCAAAGGCCAAAGAGGACAGAGAAGGGCAATTCCTTACTGGTGCAGCCAAGACCCAGGTGGGATTGGAGGACAGCTCTCATCTGTCACCCCCCACC